GAAGCATGTGAATGTTGGAGTCAAGATAGATTGGCAGTAGTGACAGCTACTCCATGTGGGTCACCTTCTGTGTACACAGTGCACCATTGTGGCTGTCTCAGCCGCAGTGTGTGCTTTGTTTCTGTTTGGATGCCAGACTTCACACTGGCAAGCACACACTACCTCCAGTCCACACCTGTGCCCTGTGCAAATTTTCGTGTCAGTTCCCAGGGTGGGGAACTGAAGCCTGGAGAGTTGACTTGCTTTAGGCTTTGCCGGCCAGTGAGTGTTGCTGCTGGAGCTGGAATCTGGGACTCTTGACCCCTTCACCCTGAGAACTCTGCATCAGTGCTAGGACCCCTCTGTGAGGTTTGGGGAAAGGACACTCCAGGTTGTGCATGATCTCAGTACTATATAGTTTTTCTCTCCCTTGACATACAGCACACATCTGATTCTTCAGGGGTCTGTGTAGTCAGAAATTCAGGTGCTGCAAAGGACCTTGGGGGCTTGATTCTTGTCCCAGGATGGTCTGGGAGTCATTGGGAGGACTCGAAGGTTGGGGTTAAAATAAGGCTCTTCACTTTCTTGTCTTGCTGTGACCAGTGGCTGCCAGCTGTGATGGGTCAGTTGAGATAGGTACTCATGGGCACTTCTTGTGACTAGTTTGGATTTCCTTGTAGAGTGTTGTCTGGGGTTAAGGAGAGAAAACCTAGTCAGGTAGAAGCTGTGGTCAGGGTTCAGCAAGAATGTTAGTTCTCCATTTCATAGCCCATGTGACTGCACTCACCCATTTCAAATCCATGTAACTGTACTTACCCACTTAAAATGCAAGTCTTCATCCATTGCTCTCCACTTAGCCGTTGAAGCAAAATTTGTCAGTCAACCTAGAACTGGATTGTGTGCAACCACTGGTCCTGCTACCCAGCCTGTTCCAGGTTTCTTCTGTCTCTGCCTCCTGAGGTTAGAATTACAGGTGAGCTGTCATGCTCACTTACCCATCTGCTATTTACCTGGGTCCTGGCAGGGGTGGGCATCCAAACTCCTGTCCTTCTGCTTGTTTGCATGGTAAGTACTTTAACCTGAGTCATCTCCTTAGCCCTATCTGTCAGGAATTTTCTGCCTGCCCCTCTTTTAGGTGTGAGACCTTTTCAAGGGAAGATGAAGACTGGAATTAATGTGAGTCCATGGTGTGTTTCTATAAGAATGATCACAGGGCGTCCTAACATCAAGCTCCTGCTCACTTTGATTAGCTCTGTGAGGACCTTTGGACTAGATGATGATATTGTACCTATTTTTGCCTCTCTTCTGTCTGGTCATACAGTTGCTACCCAAAAAGTGTTTGTTATATTCCACTAAAGTTTTTATGTTACAAAAGCAAACACTTGACATAATTAAAATATTGTGTTATGGGCATACAAATGAGCTGAAGACAGGACAGTGCCATTTTAGTTTGTCTTAAAGGTCTCCTTAAGCCCATGAGGAGAGGTTATGCAGCAGAGGTGTTGGGCCAATTGCCTTTTGAAAAGTTTCTGCTGAACTTTGTGATGGTGAAGTGTGATGGCTGTACTGGAAAGGGTAATGCACTCACAGGTTTTGGACATGAACATCTCTGGTAGACTGCTATCTTGCTGGCTATACTGCATGAATGGCAGAGAAGGAATTCTTGCTTTGCAAATCAGTAATAGGGTGAACTCTTGTTAGTAGATGGACCCAGGATATGAATAGCTTACAAAAAGAAGAGGTACCAGTGAACCATATCTGAGGCACAGAGCCAGCGTGGAGATCGCTTCCCTTCTGTCCAGTTGGTGGTATCTGGCCATCTGCCAGGCCTTGCTGGGGGAAAAGGAAACTACTTGACTGTCCTTTGGCAGCGAAGCCAAACCTCTTTAAGTGCGTGCCTTATGCCCAGGGCATTCCTTCTGCAAGAATTTGTTCTCAGGAGGTTATCAAGTGGTGTGTAGGCATTCCTCTCCAGAGGTATTATTGCTATCCTTGTAACCACAAACAATTTTAAATCAGTTCTGTGTTTCACAGTCAACCTTGGGTAAACTCATTATGTTGTAGCCATATGGCAGCACAGTGTGAAATTAGAAGTGATACTGTCCAGGGAAGTGGCACAGGCCAGAGATGAAGTAACTGGTGCTCATTCCATTCCTGTGGTGTTTAAAACATTTAATGTTGAAATAATTAAGGTTTACAAGGAGTTGCAGAGGTATATGTAGGAAGTCCAAATACTCTCAACCTCATAGTAGGGCTTTTAAATTTACATATGCTACTTCTAGTCTCTTAACACATCAAGTCACACATCTTTTTTTTTTTTTTTTTGTCTTTTTGAGACAGAGCTTCTCTGTTTAATAGCCCTAGCTCCCTAGCTGTCCTGGAACTCGCTCTGTAGACTAAGCTGGCCTTGAACTCACAGAGATCCATCTGCCTCTGTCTCCCAAGTGCTGGGATTAAAGGTGTGAGCCACTACCACCCGGCAAGTCACACATCTGAAGGTAAATAAATGATTTAAGTAAACTGAAGAAGAAGGAAGTAGTAATGTGGGGGAATACTTCATAGCCCATTTCAGAGTCAGGAAGGTAGGGTTTAATTTAAAAAAAGGATTTATTTTTATTATTATTTTAAATATTCTTATTACGTGTGTGTGTGTGTGTGTGTGTGTGTGTGTGTGTGTGTGTGTGTGCCACAGCATGCAGGTGGAGGTCCAAGGACAACTTGTAGGAATTGTCCTTTCACTATGTGGATCCTGGGGATTTTTTTTTTTCGAGACAGGGTATCTCTGTATTGTTTTGGAGCATGTCCTGGAACTCGATCTGTAGACCAGGCTTGGTTTCGAACTCACATAGATGCACCTGCCTCTGCCTCCCCAGTGCTGGGATTAAAGGCGTGCACCACCATCACCTGGTGGACCCTGGGGATTGAACTCAGTTTGTCATGATTGGGAACAAGCAGTTTTATTCACTGAGGTGTTCTGATGATTTTTTTTTTACTTTTAATTATGTTTGTATGTGACTGTGCAGGGTTATGTGCATAGGAGTGCAGGTACCTGTGGAGGCTAGAAAAAGACATCTGGTTCTTTGGAGATAGAGAGATAGTTAGCTTTAAGCTGCCTGATGTGGGTGCTTGGAATTGGAATTGAATGTGTGTCCTTTGCAAGAGCTGTATGTCCTTTTAACTGATGATCCATCCTTCCAACTCCAGGATTTAATTAAAAAATGTTTTATAAGCTTTTTCTTGGAATAGATGGGAATCAGCATAGAGACCAAAGTCAGCACTGGACAGTGTGTAGAGAGGGAGAGGCTTTGGCTCACTCAGTCTTAAATGGGATGTCCTATCAGATCTCTCTCTCCAAGGCTCAGGGATCTATGTGGAAGAGGAGGTAGAAGGATTATAAGAACCAGAGGTGATGGGTGACTCCAAGGAAACAGCATCTTCCAGATACAATAGGACTCAGGCACAAGACCTGCATAAATTCAAACCAGACAAAGTCCTAGCATTGGGATAGGGAGTGTATTTAACCAAGAAGCTGTTTGCAGCTGATACCTGCTAGCAAATGGGCAATTTGTTCCAATGGAGGCTGGCTGGGTATATTAACCACACTCCAGGGTAGGCCTCATCTCAGGAGTAGTTGATCAACACAACATGGATTCCATTTTGTGTGTGTGTGTGTGTGTGTGTGTGTACACTTTTTGTTTTGGTATTATTTTTTTCCACCGAGACAGGGATTCTCTGTGTAGCTCTGTAGACCAGGCTGGCCTTGGCCTTGAACTCACAGAGATCCGCCTGCCTCTGCCTCCAAAGTCCTGGAACTAAAGATGTGTTCCATCACTGCCCAGGTTGGTTTGGTATTTTTTGTCATATTGTTTTGTTGTTGTGGTTGTTTTTATTTTTTATTTTTGGAAGGGACATGGGAAGGAGCTGAGGATGGGGAAGACTATGATCAAAGTATATTGTATGAAAAAAATTAAAAAATAAAAACATCTTTTAACTCCAGAAAAAAATGCTATATTTATATCATGCATGTGTCACAGTGCTTGAATGGAGGCCAGAGAACAACTTTGGGAGTCAGTTCTCTTCTTTCACCCTGCAGATGACTGAACCCAGGAACTAAACCCAGGTTGTCAGGTTTGGCAGAATACGGCCGTTGCCAGCTGAGCCTGCTGTGCTTCCAGGATTTCATTAAAACACCGAACAAAGCACGCGTGTGCTCACCTAAGTTGTTCTTTGTGCTTCTCTTTGCACACTTCTGTCTTCACCAGGGTCTTGTGTCAGAATCTCAGAGTGCCATGTCTGCCTTGGGATTGGCTGCACCAGCCTGATCACAGTGGCTCTGATGAATAGGGATTTGTTTATTTACTGACCTGGAAGTGAAAGGAGATGGTTAGCTTGGACCCCGAACTCACTGTGGCCGGCACAGGCTCCCTCTTCATTTTCTGCTGTCCCCGTCTTCAGAGGAGGCTTCATTCTCAAGATACCCAGGCCTCACCTCATCTCTGTCCTGGACGTGTCTGAGTGGGAGAAATTGAGATGTAAGGGTACTGGCTGAGCCTGTCTGGTTTTGTTAGAAAAACTACAGTCTTCATTCTTTCTACATTGATTAAATCTTTACAATTTTTTTTTATATTTGGTTAATCAGACAGAGTAGCACCTGGTGGAAATTTCTGTGAAGTTACCTTGTGAGGTCAAGTTCTGTTTGTGAGCAGTGGCTCAGGGACCTTAGTGTTCCCAGTGGTCTGAGAGACTCCTGAGGCTCCCTGAAGGGAGGTTTCTGGAGAGCTGTGCTTCCTGTTCTCTGAAAGAGCCTGAAAGGGCCTATTTGTTGGGGTGTGGGCCTGTGTGGCGCCATTCATCACTGGGCTGGCCCTTAGCCCCGGGTGACTAGACATGTAGCTGCTGATGGAATATGGCTTTTCCTAGGCATGTGGCCTAGGATCTGGTGCCTTTCTTGACTCAGTGTTGGGATCTCTGTAGAGCTGGGGGTAAAAAAAGCTAATTGTTTTGTTTCCCTGTTTTCCTAGCATCCAGCATGTGTATGGAGCCCAGCACCCACCTTTTGATCCGCTGTTACACGGCACGTAAGTGGCAGTCAGTGTCCTGCTTCTGGCAGCTCACTGGAGTTTCTGAGGGAGGGGAAATGTCCTCCCAGTCAGCAGATAGCTCAGTCGCTTGCTGTGTGAGATATTGCTGTCTATGCATAGTTTACCCCGTAGCTGGGCAATGGAATATGAGGGCTGTGGGTCATAGATCCTTGCAGTGGGCAGAGGTTGGCACTTCTGGCTTGAGGGCAGTGTGGCTCCAGACTGTCTGTACAGCTCGTGCAAATCCTCTCTCTGTGCTGCACTCTCTCTGTCCTGGGCTTGGCTCTTCCAACTGTCCAGCTCAGTGCAGCTGGCGTGGCCCTGCAGGGCTGCACCTGTCTATCATAGTTCCTCACGCACGCTGGAGCTGATGGTGTGTGGAGTCACGCTTGGAGGGATCTCCTTTAGACCATTTCTGTGTATGCAAAGGCCCTGTTCTCTGCAGGGTCCTCTTGGCCTGTCCCCTCTGCTCTGCTCTGGAGCCTGGTTGAGATGGAGGGAGTGTGAGGATGTGCTCTCTAGCTTTGGCACCATTGCTCTGTAGTTCTGTGCTGCTTAGTGGCTCTCTCCTGAAACATCCCCTCCCCATCACGCAGCCTGCACAGTGCCAAGTCCTATTTTGATGCCTGCAAATTGTGCTTTTCTTGGCACCCTCATCTAGATGAAGTGTCCTCTCACTGGGGATTATTTTTTGACTGAGTATGCACAGTAAAGATGCCTTTGCTTTGTAGCTTGCTCAAGTCCGCGCCCAAGGTGCCCACTACCCCAGTGAAGGCCAAGAGGGTCAGCACCTTCCAGGAGTTTGAGAGCAATACCAGTGATGCTTGGGATGCGGGCGAAGATGATGATGAGCTCCTAGCTATGGCGACAGAGAGCCTGAACTCTGAGGTGGTCATGGAGACAGCTCACCGTGTTCTGCGCAACCACAGCCAGAGGCAGAGTCAGCCCTCACAGAAGGAGATGCCAGAGCCAGAGCCTCAGCCCCTAGCAGAGCCTCCTGTACCTCTGAGTGGTGACCTCCGCCTGGTGAAGTCTGTCAGTGAGAGCCACACTCCTTGTCCTTCAGGTAGAGATGAAGGGACAGTAGAGCCAAGGACAAACTGGACTGGAATAAGGAGGAATGTGTGTGTGTTTGTAGCAAGACTCTGGGCCATGAGAGCCTGTCGGGCCATCTTTCATGTGACTGTGGCACTCCCAGGCCCAGCAAACAGCCTCGTTGCCCATGGGATGTGCTTTCCTTTCATTCTGGAGTCAAGGGCATGTTTCCTACAAATGACATATTAAGGCTTGTGGCTTGTGTATGGGCCCAAGAGAGGGCCATGGGGGAGCACAGGAGATGGGAGATCTCAGGCTCCTTCAGAAATGAGCAAGGAGAACCCAAGAATGTGTCTCATTTACAGAGGAGAGAACAGATTCACAATAGCCTAAGGCTACCCTGCTAGAGTCAGAAAGGGGCTTTGTCCCTAACCTGGTTTTCAGAACTACCTGCCTGGAGTTGATGTGTTAAAGTTACAGTTTCTTCAGGTGAGAAATTCATTGGTGACAAATTAGGAATTACTGAGTTTACCCGGGAACTGCAGTAGCTTTTGAGTTCTTGGAAAGTTCTGATGGGGATTGTTCCCTGCCACCTCCTGTCTGCTCAGTCTGGGCAGGGTGCCCTCTAGTGGTAGCATCCAAAATGGCACGGATCCTGGATTCTTTTGCCTATTGCTGTGCTTAGGAGCCATGGACACAACTTATCAAGCCCCCACGGTAGGCTAGAAGATCTAGGGCACTGTTATTGCCAGTGATGGCCCTCAGCATACTATATGTAGGAACTGAGAGTGAGTAGGACTACATGGTGTCTGGCCGGGCATTCGGACCAGAAGCAAATTCAGATCCAGGCAGATGCTGGGACTGTGGTGTCACATTTTGGCAGCCTCTCTTGTATAAGTGAAGTGACTAGTTCTCAGAAAGTCATGTTACTGAAGAAGTGACTGTGATCTCATTGTTGTGTCCCCTGCAAGTTGTGGTTGAGCGTCCTGTGTTTGCTTTCTAGGAGAGCTTCTTTTGAGTACTTCATAATAATAGCATGCTGTGGGTGTTCACTTTGTGGCTAGTACCGTAGCCAGGCCCTATGATGATAAACTCTTTAAACTCCTCAGGCTTCTAGGAGGGAGTTGTGTTGGTCTTTTACAGCTGTGACACCAAGAAGACCTTGAGCTGCTCATGAGGTGGGCCTGGGGGTTAAACCCAGGCTCTGTGGCTCCAGAGTCCCTGCTGCTAGTGCTGGCTACTGCAGAGACCAGGGCTTCTCACCCACCCCAAGATTCTGACCCCAGGCGACATGTGGCAGTATCTTGGATCGTGTGTGTTAGAGCTGGAGCAGGGTGTGTTTGTCACTGGATATAGGGATGCTGCTCAAATTTCTACAGTGCCCTGGCAGAGACTGAACATTCCCCACACTCCCATTGTTGACGCCAGTGAGTCCTGTGCTGGAGTTGGTGGGACTTCTGCCAGGATTGGTTGCATTGGTCCTGGGAGCTGCAGGGATGTGTGGAGAAGATGTGGTCCTTTCTCTGCCCAGGGCTTAGCTCCTGTTACCTGTGTACTATTGATACCTCCCTATATGAGGAAGGAATGTGAGGGCCACTGGATCCTCACCCCAGGTTCTTGCCAGTTCCTCCTGTGCCTTCCAGATAGCTGTGTGTGATTCTGCTTCCATGACATGTTTTTTTGTGGCCTCTGTCTTAGTCAATGTTCTCTTGCTATGAAGGGATGCCATGACCACACACTCTTATAAAAGAAGACATTTAACTGGGCAGGAAGCATGTTGGCATGAAGAAGTAGCTGAGAGTTCTACATCTGAATCCGCAGGTAGCAAGAAGAGAGAAACACTGGGTCTGCTTTGAAACCTCAAAGCTCACCCCCAGAGACACATGTCCTGCAACAAGGCCACACCTACTCCAAAAAGGCTACATCTACTCCAACAAGGTCATGCCTACTCCAAAAAGGGCCACACCTCCTAATCACTGTCAAGTAGCACCACTTCCTAAAAACCAAGTTTTCAAATATATGAGCCTATGGGGACCATTCCTATTCAAACCACCACAGTCTTGGATGCTAGAATATATAGATAATGGTGGATCCCTGGCGCTTGCTGGCCAGTCAGTCTAGTTAAATCAGTGAGCTTCATGCCCAGTGAAAGACCCTACCACCAAAAATGAGGCAGAGGGCTTGAGGAAGACACCTGCTGTAGAACTGTAGCTTCTACACAGAAGTATACATGTGTGCATCACACAATGTGCATAGACTCTCCCCATGCCATTCTGCTCTTGAATTGAAGTGTCTGTTCTTGTGGATGTGTGGGGCTTTATTCTGGATGTTGCCTGCAGGTGAGGGTAGGAGCAGAAGTCCTCAGGCTAACCCTTGGACCAGATTCCATCCAGGAGCTCCAGGTCTTGCTCCCGGGCTGCTTGTATGGCCTCCTATTGTGACTAGGGAGTGGAACAGCATGGATGCAGGCATAAGTGGGGTTCTTGCCCCTGCCTTTCTGCAGTGTCTTCCATAAACACCAGCATGTAGTTCTTTCCTGTGGCTCATTTTTGACTGTACACTGGTTTGTGCCTTCTGAAAGTTGAGGCTGCTGGTTGGGGAGTTATACCTAGTTTAGAGGAGTGGTTAGGGCTTTCCTGGCTGTCACGATGTGCTCCTATGCAGGTGTATAGGAGTGAATAGAACTGTCAGTGAGTTATGGTTAGTGCTGGATGATGGGAGAGGAAAAGTTGTGACCTGACTGTTCACAAAGGGCCAGTGAGTGGTGTGGTGAGCATGCGGCCGTATGGGTGAAGGGAGAAGGTGTGGTCAGGAGGTGAGAGGCTTCTGCTAACCTTAATCTCTGTTCTTCGACCTTTTCTAGAAAGCACCAGTGATCCAGTCCCTCTGCAGCGGTCCCAGTCTCTCCCCCACTCGGCCACTGTTTCACTGAGTGGGACATCTGATCCACATGCCCTTGGTGGTTCAAATCTGAGTATGAGAGAGACCTCTCGGCTGGACAAGTTCAAACAGCTGCTTGCTGGCCCCAACACAGACCTCGGTGAGTCCCTGAGGGTGGCTTGTTTCTTTTTCTTTCTTTCTTTCTTTCTTTCTTTCTTTCTTTCTTTCTTTCTTTCTTTCTTTCTTTCTTTCTTTCTTTCTTTCTTTTTTTGGTTTTTACGAGACAGGGTTTCTCTGTATTGTTTTGGAGGCTGTCAGACAAGCCCGGCCTGGAACTCACAGAGATCCGCCTGCCCAAGGTTTCTCTGCGTAACCAGGCTGACCTTGAAGTCACAGAGATCCACATGCCTTTGCCTCCCGAGTGCTGGGATTAAAGGTGTGGACCATCACCACCTGGCCATCATTTTTTTCTTAATGCTACAGAATACTTTTACTACTTGTAGTCCTCAGGGGGAGCCTCTAGAGGCTGGACACCTAGTTATCTGTGTACTTCATTGGCTGTGAGTTGTCAGTGATTTCTGGGGAGTGAGGTGGGTGACTACCATCCTGAACTACTATACTTGGCAGCCATGGGGCCAGGGATGGCATGAGTGTGACAGGTAAGGCCCAGATGGGCACTGGGGAGAGAGGATGGTCATCGCGGTGAATTCTTGTGATTTTCTTGCTCCCCTGCAATACCTGTGTGGAGGCTGGCTAGACTCCAAAACATTTGGTTTCAAGTCTTTTTGCTAGAGTTGCCATCTGATTATTTGTTCTTTCGTTTTCACAGCCTGTATTTGCTGAATAAACTCAATGATAGGTGTTTACTAGGTGCTTGAACTTTCCGAGGACCGGGAGGTGGTCTTCGCCATGAGGTCACTCATTGCAGGGAAAAAAATTCAATAGGTAGTGCCAGAGCAGCACTTTTGAGGGCTGAGAGTCCGGAGGTGCAATGCCTATCTTGGCCAGGAGGTGGCGAGTGGGGCCTGTGGATGGGCTGCAGGAAACTGACCCATGGCATTTGGGAAGCTGTAGGGATGTGTTGGCTGGAGCATGGTAGCCTAAGGTCTTGAAGTCCGCACAGTGGATCTTTTCCTCTTAGATTCATAACTTTTGTTTTTGTTTTTGTTTTGTAGGTCTCTCTACATAGCTGTGACTATCCTAGAACTCACTATGTAGATTAGATTAGGCTGACCTTGAATTTACATAGATCTATCTGCCTCTACTTCCTGAGTGCTGAGATTAAAGGCTTGTGCCACCATGCCTGGCATTTAATTATGTTTTAAAAAACCAGCAGCACATGTGTATCTTACAATATTATGAAGTACAAGAGGATGAAGAAGGAAAATATGCCTCTGTCTTCCCCCGCTCAGGAGCCTCTTGTCAGAGGTGGCTGTGTTCAGGAGTCCCCTGTCAGAGGTGGTGTGGACATTGCTCCAAATGTTTTTGTCATTTTATACTTAGGGAAAGTCTCAAGGATAGTATAAACGCTTCTATGCACAGTGTCAGCCAGTTTTACTAGTTGTTTGCATTCTGCCCATTCTCCATTCTCTGCCTGCGCTGTGTGTTTGTAGAACCAGCTGAGAGTCAGTTGGAGACCTCATTCCAACCCTAGGGCTTTGCTGTAAACCCCCAAGAGCACAGGCAGTCAGTTTATTCAGTGTCAAGAAATGTAGCTCTGACATAGTGCTATTTTCCTTGTGAGCCTGCTTGTTCACATTTACCATGTGTACCAATGAGTGTTCATTGGATCTCCTGCCTCCTTGTTCACAGTCCAGAGCTCGATGGTGCCCTCCCCACAATCCCCTCTGCTCTAATGTCTCTGTGAGCCTGGAATGCTCATTCCCCTTCCTCATGTGCTTTGATACGGGCACAGTGAAGGTATGCAGGCAGTGATTTGTCAGATGTTCCTCTGTTTCTGTGTGTTTGAGTCTGTCTTCCTTGTGATTAGTAGGAGCATCATACTGGGATGTGTGTTCTTCTCACCATTTCCTCTTCTCTGGAAACCTGTGCAGCAGTCTGCAGAAGGATGCCTTGGATCTGTGCATTTATGCAGGTCTTTTTCTTCATCCACCCAATGGACATGCTGGTCCGCTCCACACTTCATGTTTTGAAATTATGTGTGTTTACAGAGTAGTGCATAGAGATCCAGATGTCATTCTTTGGGTTCCCCACAAGCCCTTTACTGATGGGCATGGAGGCTACCACCAATTTTCTGTTGTTATAGCCTGGGACCTTGTACAGATGAGGCAAGAGCTCTTGAAGGCATCTGCTACTTTGATGATGGTGTCCACAGAGCAGTTCTCACCTGGGGTAGGAGGGAGACTACAGACAGGGTGGCTTTTTAGGTTTGGCATAGAGCTAGGTGGGTGGAAGTTATTGTCACCAAAATAGGAAATCAGGGTTTCTCCTATGAAAGGAGCAGAATCTCCTGGTTGAAGTTGGAATCCTATTTTTACCTTTCTAGCACATCATGTACCCATGCTTTGCTGAACAGGGGCTGTTAGTTAGCTGCTCAGGTTCTGCGTTGGAGCCTGTGTAGGGAGGAGGCAGGTCCCACTGTGCTTATGGAGTTGGTTGTCTGGGTGGAGACTTTGAGCAGGCTCGGTTGCTCGTGATCCTGGTTCTTAGTGTCCTTGCTCATCTGCAAGATGCTCCTGGAGCTGGACTGAGATGATGCATAGACCACTAGAGTGCTGGCTATAGGTAATGCCGATTGCTGTTCTGTAGGCTTTCTATGATATTGGTTATCACAGTATGGCTACTTGGTGATCCATCATGCATCAGAGTTGTTTTCAGACATTTTCCTGGTTATGCCCACTGGTTTACAGCCATAGGCAGGTGGCCAGAGATAACTGATGGAAATGGGTTTACCTGATGGCAGTCCTGATCTGGTTCAGCTCTGGGCAGTAACTAGAATCTTCTTGTGGATCTTGTCACTAGGGCAGCATTAGAAGTCAGATTGTACTTGCAATAAAGCTTCTGGGCTTTTGGGTCAGTGTGAGCTTGTGTAGGTGAAAGGTTAGATGTAAAAATCAGGCTCTGTGTAGGGTTGGTGTGATTATGGTTTTCTTATTCTTTTTTCTTTAAGAAGTCTGCTTGAATATTTGAAGCCAAAAAGTTAAAGCCATTTACTTTCAAAGATAAACAATTACAGATTTGTATTTAGTGGCAAGAGAAACATAGCCAGTAAATTGCCTGTTTTCCTAAGGCCTTTAAGGTAGCTCTGAGGACAGTGGAATACATTATCCTCCCATTACATAAAAACCAAAGTGGTAAATATTTGCCGAAGTTGGAGAAGCAAATCGCTGATGTGCGAAGGACCAGCAGAAATGGCTCTACCTGCTGAAGGTCTGTGCCAGTGTCCGCTGCTCTTTGTTTAGCTTATGCTCTGTTATGAACCCAGGGATGAAAGTAGCAAATAGAACTTAACAGCTCACTCCCCTCTCAGCATCGACTCAATATTTACCCACACAAAGACTGCCTGCTTTGAAGCCTGAGAAAACGACACTTGGAGGCATTCATGTTCATCATGTGTGTCTGCTGATCAGGAGTACTATTCGGAATATGCAAAATGTGTCGTTTCCTGCGGGCTGTGGAGTGACTGCCACACAGCAGTGGGGCCTCTGTGGGCAGGCTCTGTGCAGAGCTCAGTGAGGGCCACTAGAGAGCTGTCAGCCAGCCAGCAGGACAGAAGGTGTCCCCTTTCCTCTGAGGAGTGAGCCAGGCACATAGCCATGGTCCCTGGTACAGGGTTTGAAGATGGAGAATATGCCCGGATAGAAGGAAGGAAGGCATAAATGAAGTATGGAGCCATGTTCCCTGGAAGCATGACTATGAGCAGATGCCCCGAGGGCCACATTTCAGGGCCTGCGATGGTAAGAGTCCACCCTCAGCATGGGTGCTGGCTGTGCCCTTACTCTGTGTGACCATCTCACTAAGTGTCTCACCTCGGGGTGGAAAGGGAAATCCAACCTACCTTACACAATTCCTGTGAGGGCAGGAGGTAATTTATGTTTCAGCCGTAGGGGAGAGGTAGGGATCCAGATCAACATACGCACTGCCCTTGAAGATCTGGCATTCTGCTCTGGGGAAGACAGACGGACGCATACCCACAGTGAACACCCCAGGGATGGTCAGCAAGCAGGTGGTAAGCACACCTGGGGATGAGGCGGTGCTGAGGGATAATGAAGATGCTGCTGGCTAGTAGGTGGTCATCAAAGACCCCCGAAATGAGCGTTTCTGCTGAGCCCTGTGTGGAGAGAGGCTGAGTATGGAGGAAGTCATTCCTGTGAGAGGAGCCAGGTTGCAAAGGTCCTGTGGTGGGACAGCTTCAACTGTTTGAGGCATGGAAAGAAGATACTGAGGCTGAGGGAGATGGAGGGAGAGAGGCATGTAAATCAGGCAGGCGCTTGGACTCCAGGGCTCAGAGGGCCAGGAGGCGGCACCCAGCTTCTGCTTGAATACCCTATGAAGTAAAGCGTGGAAGGAACCAGCCTGAGGGCTTCAAGCAGTGGGTGGCCAGTGGCTTTGGAGGTGGGTTTCTCGGGCAATTGAGGGGAAGGAGAGGGAAGATGGTGACAGGGAAAGGGAGCCAAGGGTTTTGGGATTGGACCTGGTGGGGCCATCAGTTTTAGGTGCTGTCAGGTGAGCCTGATGGTTGGTGCCTGATTGGCTGCACATGAAGCTGGGTGTACTGAGAGGGGAGGGCCATAGCATCATAGCTTGGAGCTCAGAGACAGCACTTTTCTAAAAGGGTCATTTGGTCAGAGGGAGCAAAACCATTGATGCCGCTGGAAAACTGCAAACCACTGCATGGTGCCTTAGTCTTCTCAGGTCTCTGTCTACCTCCACAGCACCCCCTGCCTAACCCTTGTCACTGGGTCACTGCTCAGGAGGCTGCATCTGAGGCAGCCCTTCAGTGAGTGGAGCAGGGCAGGATAAGGCCAGGTTGGTTTTGGGCTCTGTTCCCAGCCTCCAGGTCTTTCTCATGTTTGGTTAATGTAGACAGCAACATTCTCAGTGCTCTTTGGAAGTCAGAAGAAGTCGTTTCCTCTCCTGTGGGTCTTGTTGGAGTAGTTGGCATCTAGTCTAGGACAGGCTTGCCATGGGCATCCTGGG